CTGCCATTTGGGCTCAAGAATGCGCCGTTAACCTATCAGCAGATGTTGGTTAATTGTATCTGGGGTTTTGTGCGCCTTCCGCCCGAAGAAGAAGCTACGGTAGATCCTGAACACTTGGAATTCTTGGGAATCAAGTCTGAGAATAAGGTCGAAAGACGAGATTTATCCCCCTTGACCGAAGATTTGACAGTGTTCCGGAGGAATATCCCTGCACCCGCTGAACTTAGGCCTGTTCTGGGACGAAGTTCGTATATAGACGATATTGCGTATGGAGCAGAAACCTGGGATCAAATGTGTATCGACCTAGATCGATTGTTCTTTCGATTGCGACATTGAGAAATCTCTGTGAGTCTGCCGAAAAGCGCGTTTGGTAAGAGAACCATTTCGTATCTATCATATGAAATTGGAGCTGAGGGAATCAGAGCCAAATCTAAAATTGCAAAAGGTGTCAAGAATCTGCCGGCCCGAACTACTTTCAAGAGTGTACAATCATTTCTGGGAAGTCTCAACTACTGCAACAAGTTCACATAAGATCTATCAGTAGTTACAGCTGTCCTGCATGAATTAACAGATGAGCAGATCCGAATGGGTAGAGATCTGTAACCTGCAAAGGAAACTTTTGAAATTCTCAAGCAGAAAATTGTCTCCACTCCGCTATTGAGACATCCCATCAGGGAGAAACCATTCATTATCATCCTACACGCCAATTCTTGGGTGGTGAGTGATGTGTTGTGTCAGGAATACGACGGAAAGATATACCCAGTTCGGTTCAGGGCCAGAGTATTGCACGATCAAGAACTGCGATATCACCCGGCAGAAAAGGAAATAGTGGGATTGCTCAGAGTTCTCAGCGTATTCTATCCTATATTAGTAGGCAACGCCACCTTGAAGGTGTATACGGGCTATTCAGTTCTGGGATGGTTATTCAAATCTAAGTCCTTAGAAGACCGTTGTGAGGAATGGGCAGCTAGGTTGGCACCCTGGCTGCTGGAAGTGCACAAGATCCAGAATGACGAGTATGGATTAGCGTCAATTCTGGGAGCCGGAATTACTCCGCGTGACAAACTCGATCAAATTGCTGAGAATCTTATCCCGACGAAAGGCCGAGTAGTTAGAGGTCTTAATATGACAAAGTGGGTGAACACTTGACCGCCCAAAGGTGTATAGCGTGCTCTAAACGGATTCGAACACGCCGTCGTTCAGGTAGTTCAAGACTCGGGTTGAAACCTTGTTCCAGTCCGGGTTGGCGTGTGCCTTGCGACAATCCCTATATGTTCGATTAATTCGATGACCAGGGATAACACCGTAGCTGTTATTGCCAATAGGATATATAGAGATATATGAGAACTTCCGGGACCTTTTCGTCCTAGTTGTCCTGAGTGTAAGTTGAGAGATCACGGGCAAAGACATTCCTCCCAGAATTAACCTAAATCAATACAAATTGCATAGGTGATATACAGAGTTCGTAATACAAATATAAATATACACCCTGTCAGTTATTAGACACACCCGGATACATGTAGATTTCGAGATGCCCTACGCGCACCACTCCTGTACTAATACAGTAGAATTAATATAAGTACCTTCCGTTCACACAGCAATCAGCAATATATATCCAGGGGAGATCACTACAATCCTCCTAAATCGCAGGGTAATATAAAATGCAACTGGACACTTGAGGGTGTCCAGAGACAACTTAGCAAATGAAATAGCTGGATCAGCCCAAGTGTCCAAGCGAACCGGTCCCAGAGTTAATTTAGCTTGAACGATGTTGAGCGTCTTCACGCGTCCCGCGTGGCCGTAGTCAGTCCTTGGTGTGGTTAACCCCTGAGTCCATGATTCCTTAGGTAGTCTCCTGCAGGTCCTTTTCGATGAGGTATCCCTCTTAACACCGTTTCTGCAAACCACTTGCGCACTCGGTAGTAAAACAAACTCTCGTTAAATTTTTAGCTATCAATCATCTTCATCTTGGCATATTCTTCAAGTTCTTCAGATTCTTGCAATATCTTGGTCTTTCTGGGTTCGATTTCTTCGGTCTTATTTGCCTCGTGGCCGCACACCTCCTGGATGTCTTGGTCTTTGTATACTTGGGTTGTCGCATCAACAATCAGCCCGGGCTCATACATGATGTGTTTTGACACATGGTCCACCTCGGATCTGCAGCATCCGCCGACCCTTCGCACAGGTCTCATCTCCTCTTCAGTATTGTTTTCAGGTAGTCTGACGTCGGTGCAACTCGATATTTGCCTGCACTGGCGTATAACGCGTCTTGTACCTTGGACCACCACGTCATCAGTTGATTCATCCAGTATGCCATTCGGGTTGATTTCCATTCAGGTTGTTCGTAAGGTCTCTATTCGGGATGCACTCCCACAATTCAGGATGTCCAGCGGCCAGCGAGCCTGGGGCCTCCATGTCCTCTCGGTTAGCCCCTCGATCTCTACTGATCCATCCGAAAAGTATCAGTCATCCCGAGACACACTCCCACACTTCAGGATGTCCAGCGACCCTGGGACCCTCCATGTCCTCTCCGTTAGTCCCTCAGTCTCTGCTGGTCCATCCGAAAATATCGGTCATCTATTTCGGGTTCCTCCACGCTTCACCTTCCTGGAACAGCGGTGTGTGGTCACTCGGTTCGGGTGACCGGTGCTGAGATTTACGTTCGTGAAGCATTTCTCCACTCACCACCCAAAATGCTATCACGTATCAGTTCCATATTCCCATATACCGGCTCTCAAATCAGGACAGTCGCGGATGCCACCTGAATTTCCAGGTTGCATCGTCACAATAGTCTCGAGATGTTAGAGTTCGACTACGAAGGTCGGTTCCTCAGTTTTGATGGTTCAGCTAGAACTTCAGATCGCCAAGGGAGTTCTGGGTGTATTCTGTGGAAGTTACCTACTTAAGATGTGATTGCAGATCAAGGTTTCCATTTTGAAGACATCACGGTGAACGAATCTGAGTATCATGGTATGATTGAGGGTTTAAAGATGACATTCGATCGGAGAGTCTGGGAGTTGATTATCGTAGGTGATTCTCGGATAGCTATTCAACAAGCCCAAGGACTTATTCAGTGCCTGAATCCTGGGTTGTAGTTGTTACTTGCTCAGTTCGAACGTCTGCGCAAAGAATTCAAGTCTATATGCCTAGTACATGTGAAACGGAAGTATAATGCTGCCGTTGATTACGTGACTAGCAAAACAGCATATCCCCGGAACTCCGTGGAAATTACGGATACGACTGAGTTAGCTCAGCTGAAACAAATGAATAGGATACCTGAAAAACTGATGAAGCAAACTACTTTGGAAGACACGAAGTCTGGGGATCCAAGCTTGGGACCGGAAGAATTGGCATCCCGGGAAACGCAAAGAGGACCAGAGCGTGTAAGCTTCTATTTGACAATTCCCGAATCCGAATCGATCGAGGTCGCAGCTAGTCCACTGGTACCTCTTCTCGGGTATTTGTCGCTGTAACGAGAAGTAGAGCAAGAGTCTCACCACCGGCCGATCCAGGAACTTCTGAGGTGATGATGGAACAACCTGATTCTGGGACGTCTGAGAATACTATGGAACCCAAAGGATATCTACCTGAAGGAACGACGCCTGTGGAAGCAATAGTTGAACGTTGGCGGCGTATTTGTATCCAGCAGCAGACTGGACCTTGGATTCGTCGCCTCACCATTTATTTGCGTGGAGACTTGAGAAAATTCTCAGCTGCTGAAGCAGAAGAAGCTGTTGATCAGTTTGCACTAGACTCCCGGAATGTATTATACTACCGAAATCGGTGACGCCAACGAGGCCCAGGGGCGATGAAGGTAATCTAAGACACGTGGTCCCCAGGACACTCCAGAAAGATTTACTGCATCTGTGCCATAAAGATTTTCAAGGCGGTCATCAGGGAATCTATAGAACTCAGGAGCGTTTACGTCGAGAATACTAT